AACATTGTTGAAATTAATTTTTTATTTTATTTCTAGTCAGAGATTTTTAAAGTTTTATTTTTTGACACATGTTGTACATGTAATTTTGTATCATGACTTCCTCACTAAAGGACATGTTTTCTAAAGAGAAATACTAGTAACTAAATATAAACAAAGTTAAGTGAGGTTTCACTATAATAGCAGTACTTAAATATTTATAACTCATTATAATTTTCAAGCCCCTTATACACACATCATCTTTTAAGTCATCTTATTTTATTTATTGATTTAACCATAACCAGCTAACAGTTGTAGATATTGTTAAAATTCATTGCAAGAAATAAACTCTTTAAAGATGACATCTAGAAAACTGTACTATCTGTTTCTTCTTTGGCTTCCTGAATTCATCTTGTGCTAATTCAGTACATAATATTTACGAAAATATGCAATATTCACTACATATTTACTGAAGAGTTGCTTTATATAATCATAGAAAATTGGAAATCCTTGTGATTACTCATTTGTAACTCATCCAGTTATGATACATCATGTGTCAAGGCAGAATTTAGAAAAAGAAGTGTTAGGCTAAAACATTAATGTTTCAGTTTTCCAGAAATTTTATCAAGTATCTGTCCATATAAAGTTTACTATTTTAAACTTTTTGATCTCCATTCACATTATAGTGTAAAAATAGTTTCAAAAGTGATAAAATAATTGTATCAGACTATCTTTTTGTTGGCTTGTTATAGTCAATGATCCTCTGCTCCCCAGATAAGACCAAGCATTGTAGTCCATAAAATCTTGCTGAAGTGGTAATACCTACTCCCTAATGTGTACATTTTGAGCAGTAGTTCCATAATTATTATCTCTTCATTTAACCTGTTAATCATTTAAAGTTATAAATATTAAATATCTAGCTCCTAAGTCAAACCAATGTGTCTTAATAAATCCCCTATATTTATTGAAAATAACTATACCCTAATTACTCCAATAAACCATATTTTAATATTTCCTCTAAAATATTTAGCTCTTATAGTATAGACAGTGTCTGGAAGGACTAGAAATACATATTCTGGCTGAAATACTAAACCAAAACTCAGTTGCTTCGGGAAAATGACAAAAATCCCCCTTTTTGTTTTAAATAAATTATAAATACTTAGTACACAAATAATGGGAACTTGAAAAATGGAAAATGTTTGTGAATCTAATAGGCCCTCTTAAAATAGAGTGACAGGATTAAACATCACTTTTCTACATATGTGGTGTGACATTTTCATTTAGTTCCAAGTTATTCTACTTTTTATGTGACTCTGGAGTTTGTAAACATGCCATAAAATTTGGTAATTACATAATGATGATTTCATGGTTCTAGCTTAGTATAAAGGTGGCTAGACAGAGCAGAAAAATCGATTTTCTTTTTTACCTTTGTGGAAAGAAACAGAAGGAGACTGAATGCAAAATCTGCATTAAGACCATGCTAGAATTATAACTCAACAATCTATTACACATGAAATGAAAACCAGGTGCAGCCAAGTGTTAGTTATTGTGCTATGATATTCTGCCAATGGGTTAAATTCAAAAATCCCTTTGTTTAACCCATGCCTTGTTTTGTCACCCACAATGTTCCAAATGCATATGATCTGACACTATCTCTTGTTGTCTCCTCTTGCCAAAGGTACTCAGAGGCAGGACTGTCCCTAGGCAAAACCGTGAAGTAGGTGAAACTTGTGTTCATTCCCTACCGTTTTGCAATGACAATCTCACCTTAGATTCTCTCCACCTCCCTGTCCTCAAATGCCTACTCCAGTTGCTCATTGCTCTGGATTTCCCCACTGTTTTCCAGGGTCTCATGCTGTTTCTTGTCCAATCCCTCTTTGATTGTATAATTTCCCTACTCAAAAAATGTTCAGTGGCTCCCCAAGAGGAGCCAGGCAATCAAGATCCTCCCTCCTTTCCTTTCAAGTCTTATTTCTCACTGCTTCTCTCCATTATTCTACTGCAAGTGGATCACCCATCTTGCCCTTTTTATTTACACATCTTTTTCCATATTATTCCTTTTGCCTGAGCTGGCCTTCACCTCTCACCTCCATTTATGGAAATCCTAATCATCTTTCAAGACTCCGCTCAACTGTATCTCCTCCACGTGCCTTCCGTGATCACCCCCAGCCTCTCTCCTCTGCAACTCATCCATACCACTCATATGGCACTTACCACATGTTGCTTTGTATTATAATATTTATGTATGTGTCTTGTCTCCAGGCACTGTGCTGGGCGCTTTACAAACGTAATCTCATTTAAATTTCACAACAATCCGATGAGGTAGGTATTACTATACCTCTTAACAGTTGAGGAAACTGAGGCTCAAATAGGTTAAATAATTTGCCCAAGGTCACACTGCTAGAAAGTAACAGAGCTAGGACTTGAACCTAGGTCCCAAAGATATATTCTTTCCACTAAACCATATTGCCATCTTTTCAGTTCTTTTCCATCTTCTGAAAGATGGATGGAGGTTTAAGATGGAGGAAGAGACCAACTTAGGTTTTCTGATTAGCAAATATGTATTCAACAAAGAGATAGAGTTTATAGATAATTACTGTATTCCTAGCTAGAACTGATTGGTTAACTATAATCCGTGAGAAATTCAAGTACAATGTGAGATAAAAAAAAATCCTTACCTAAAGTTGCCAGAATAAATAAACATGACGTAAGAAGAGAGTGTTCAAGACAATTTATAATTCAAGAAAGGCTAGGTAGCATTGGTCTCCGAGCACTGTTGGAAAATGAGTAAAAGGAAAAGAAGTAAATGTGGGGTTGACTAGGAAAGACTTCCTGTAAAGTCCCCTGGATTTAAACAATTTGGGGTGATTAGGAGGCTGATGATATCATTATCCTCCTAAATATCTCATGAACTAACAATATCTCGATTGAGTATAAAGCCCATTTGTTTCACTTTGCCCCAAGTGTAGCATCTTGAATAAGTTGGAGGAGAGAAAATTAGTGTTTCTAAAAGGGAATTTTCATCCCAAATGGACAGATTTTACAACTGCCCTCTCCAGCACCCAGGACATGGAGTTTCAGTTCACTCTGGACATCTCCATTCTGGGAGTCTTCAGCATAGGACCAGCTTTCTGCCAGTCACAAGGCAGAGGCCCCTTCCTGGGAAGAATTTAGACTTAGGATCTCTGTGTGTTTTGACACCACTATGTTTGCCTCTTCCAAGGTGAAAAACAAAAATCTGTCTTCGTTTCTTCTCTTATTCTCTTCTCATTTTCCAGTCCCCCAGCCTGTCATATTATCAGTTACATATTTCTTCACATGAGTGAGATGCAGTTATTATTAAACATCTTCTCAGTGCACCTCTATTAATTTCTGACAGTCATCTCAACTTTGTTGACAAACTCATTTCAATTTATATATGCTCTCTGTATGCCAATCCCATTCACATATGGCTCTACACTTTTATTCCTCATACCAATCTTAATAATAAATTTAAAATTATTGTTTAGGGAAAATAATGCACGTAATCTATTTGAAAGTAGCAGGCCTCGCTAGACTTTAGGTCCTGTGTTTGGAAGCCTGAGAATTTTCATTTCTGTTATGTGCTGAATCAGAGGCATTCAATGAGCCCAACGGAAAAACCACCTTTAACACACTGGAAAAAATTCAAACTTAAAAGCTCTTTTTTCTTTTCTTTAAAGTTTTTATGATTTTTCTTAGCCTCCACAAAAGTCTTCAAAGCTAATTCACCTTTTTTTTCCTTACTTTTTATTTTGAAATAATTATAGATTCATAGGAAATTACAAAAGCAATGTGCAGAAAGATCCTGTGTATGCTTCACCCTGTTTCTCCTAGTTGTTACATCTTAACATTATTATATCAAAGCCAGGAAATTGACATTGGTCTAATTCATTTAAATTTCAAAAAAGAAATAAAATCCAACCTGAAGACAGCCTACTCAGTTTTAAATTTCCTTCTACATTCTGTTTCTGCTCACACGTGGTAACCAGGTTGACAGTCCTGGAAAACAAAGGGTGGTATGCCCATACTACCATAGAGAAAGTTCTCCCACATTGCTAGAGATGATCCTCAGCTGTCATTCAAATCCTTGGTCATTGTCATAGCAGAGCTGTGGAAGACAGCCCACATCAGAAGACTTGGGTTGGAATCTGGTTCTGCGTTCAAACGTGTGACCTTGAGCAAGTCGCCTGACCTCTCCAAGCTTCAGTGTCTTCATCTAGAAAATGGAGAAAGTACTTCTCCTGCCTACTTCATAGGGTTGTTGTGAGGATCAAATGTGATGATGTGTATGAAGGGAGTAGGTAGACTGTGAATCAACAATCATGAAGTTTGTATTCTTTTTTGAAACTACTGCCAGTTGCAGAAGTGTAGTTTTTCAGAGGTGGTTTTATTCTTAGAAACAGAACAAAATCACCTCTTTATTAGCCACAAGGCCTAGAATTTCCATCATGTGTAAATGACCTTTCCTTTCTACCACTCTTGGTAAGACAGGTACTAGCGATATATTGGGCAAGCACTCTGTGACCTACATAACCCTGAGGCAAACGATCTATTTTAAAATAAATATTTCTTAACATTTTCTTCTAAAAGGTCGAATGCATTTTAAGTAGCTTTTATTTTTGTTTTTATCCTAACCACAGGATTCATTCTTACTTTTTCTCATGCCATGGGATGTAAAATCGGTGCTCTTGACAATAGTGAGAAATTATAAGGCTACCAGGTTAGACAGCGGATGGTTTATGAAGTAGAAATGGAAATCATCTAAGCTGCATTGTTCCTTGGTTTGTCTGGATATATAATATAAATTCCCTAACTCAGTGGTGGATTCTGGTGTGTGGGAAGTAAAAACGCTAGTCTTGGCAGTAAAGGTGAAGAAATATATAGGAGAAAATGAACTTAAATCATGGAAAGTAAAGATAAAAAGTTTTTGTGTGTACTAAATGTTTTGGGCACCACAATAAAATGTTAAGATTTGTTTTCTCCCCTTTCCCCCCTATATACAGGCTGGCATGGCTCTGACCTATGACCCCACAGCTGCCATACAGAATGGGTAAGTAGAGCATGTTGTCTCTGTTTTAATTGCTAAGATATATTTGAGCTCTTGAAATCAGTACTGAAAAAAAATGTTCAAACCTGTCTAGGTTTTAAATCTGTAAACAAAAACTTCAAACCCAACATTTCTCACCAGTGTACTTTTTTCTTCTCATGAGTGACTCTGACTTCCTAGCATCTCCCAAGTCACCCATTCTCACAATGCCTCTGCCCACATTAAGCCCTTCTCTCTCCCTTTCTCTCTCTCTCTCGTCATCTGAGAATGAGTAAGAAATAGGATGTGAAGAGAGAGAATAGATAGAACTAGACTGGGAGAAGTATCTGTGTGTCTCTAGGATAAGAGTGTTGCCCCTGCTGATAACTCTAGAGTTTAGCTTTCAACAATTTTAGTGTGTGCTTAGGTTCATTTTGACATTAATAATGCTTTTACTCTTTCTTTCTGTCTATCAGGGGAAGGGTAATGGACAGAAGTCAAGTTAGTACCTTGGTGATTGTGTCTTCATTCTTCGCTATAATAAGCATTTTGAAATTTGTAGCTCCTTACATAGAAAAAGTCACATAGCTTCAAATTCCTCCTCTGAAAAATAAGACTTAAACTACATGATCTGGCCTCTCTAAAATTCTGTAATTCTGAATACCTTTGGTTGAAACTTTCTTCTGATTTTCCCATCCATTTCTTTTGCTTTGGCTCTCCTGCAATTGACAATAATTATTCTTTAGTTGGTTGGTTATTTTTATTTTCACTGCCTTTTATTTTGGATTTCTCCATGGCTTTCAGTTGTTTCTAAGTCTCATTAAAGAATCCATCTGAATGAAGGACTCATTTAAGGTCAATGTAGAGGATAGAAGAAATTAAACTCCATTTTCTATTTGGTCAGCTGCCTCTAACGAAAATCTGTGTTGGAAGTGTTTAAATAATTACCTCCTATTCTTATAGTTATTCCTTCAGGCAGTCATTTATTCAGTCTTTCAGTAAACATCCATTGAATCTTCCAGGCACAGTGCTATCTCTATAAATTTAAAAAACTATGTATGGGGGCCAGCCCTGTGGTGCAGGGGTTAAGTGCTCGTGCTCAACTTTGGCGGCCCGGGGTTCGCAGGTTTGGATCCTGAGTGCGCACTGATGCATTGCTTGTCAAGCCATGCTGTGGCGGCATCCCATATAAAGTAGAGGAAGATGAGGACAGATGTTAGCCCAGGGCCAATCTTCCTCAGCAAAAAGAGGAGGATTGGCATCAGATGTTAGCTCAGGGCTGATCTTCCTCTCACACACACACACACACAACTATGTATGAGGGGCTGGCCCAGTGTGACATAGTGGTTAAGTTCAAACACTATGCTTCTGCTGCCTGGGGTTCGTGGGTTCAGATCCTGGGCATGGACCTACACACCGCTTGTCAAGCCATGCTGTGGAGGTGTCCCACATACAAAATAAAGGAATATTGGCAGAGATGTTATCTCAGGGGCAATCTTCCTTACCAAAAAAAGAAAAACAAAGAAACCTTGTATGACATAAGACCTTTGCCCTCAAGAAACTCATAGTCTACCCTTCCATAAAAGAGTAAACACAGATGGTAGGCTAGGGTAGGAATCTATTCCTTTGTCCCTTGTTGATTAAAAGTTCCCTCTAGGAGTCAAAATTAAAAATATCTTTTCATTTATCCAACAGGCATTTAATTATTTCCAACAAGTCACTATAAACTTGGTGTGCAGAAAGAAATAAAGACATGGAAAAGAAAGTCCTCTAGAATCATATTGTGTAGTTGGGGAGATAACATAGTTAACTCAAAGGTACAAAATAATCATTATATGCTAAGCTTTTTATTATGTATACACAGTAAAAACCCAATGTTGTGAAGAGTCTGTCCTTGCTTGAGTGGCTAGTTGGAACTTCTCTGAACAAGTGATGCCTTGAACTGAGCTCTGACAATATATTATGGCAAAAGACAGAGAAACTAATGTGACTCTGAAATTTTAATCTCAGAAAGCTTAATCCTGGAAACACTGGTGGTACCATTAGCTGAAAGACAAGGAACAAAATGGAGAAAGAGGATGTGCTCAATGTCAGACATGCTTGACTCATGAGACTCACCTAGACAAAAACAATCAAGAGAACTGTAAATTTGGGACTGGAGTAAAAACCATGCTTTCGTATGTATTGCTTTAGCCAGTCATCTGTCCAATGCACAATTTAAAATCTGAATTTCTCCTCTAAAGACATAATTTTCCAAGTATTCATCCTGATTCATTACAAACCTAAAGAGAAAAAATTGGAGTTTCAGCTCCCAACCTGAGCAGCCAAAGGGGAACTTGGGGCGGTGCTGTGTTCGGGGCAGTGAGGACTGCCTGGTACACAGTGAACATTTCTGCCTTCTCCTCATGTCTTCGCTTCACATTTCAGGTCACCACCTCTATACCACATCAAGGTTGACTGCAGTACATCTGTCTACCTTAACTCACCTGCTATGTGATATGTCTTTATCTGTGTCTTATACTAACAATGTAACATTGTATCCTTTGACATATTTGACAGTTGCAGAAATAGTTCACCTTCTTCTGCTGTCCACTTAGATGTTTACAACAATGAATATTTCCCTCATGAAACAAATTTTAGTTAAGATGCTGAGAATACCCATCTTCTTGATTTTATCTACTCTCATTTGATAAAGAACTTTATTCCAATAATCAGTCCCTCTCTTCAATACCTTCCTGTACACTGAATATTCCTTTTTGCCTGTAGATATACTCCAGTCCCTCCTACCTATAAAAAGGGTAGAACCAAAATACAGTCATGTGCCACATAACAATAGTTCGGTCAATGACAGACCACGTGTACGATGGTGGTCCCATAAGATTAGTACCATATAGCCTAGGTGTATAGTAGGCTATACCATCTAGGTTTGTGTAAGTGTACTCTATGATGTTTGCGCAATGACAAAATTGCCTATTGATGCATTTCTCAGAATGTATCCCTGTCGTTAAGTGATGCATGACTGTAATTCTTTCCTGCCAGTGGGATCACGTCTAGTGACTACACTATTTTAGCCTTCTCTTTATCGGTAAATAACTCCAGTTTTTTATAGATGCTGTCTTCCTATGTTCTTCTCTAATAAACCCTATTAAAGTGTGAATTCTGGTCTCAAACTTTACTGCAATTTCCCTTGCTGATGTCCCCAGTGATCTCCAAATTTGCCAGTTGTAACTGTGACTTTTTTAGTCCTTATACTATTTGAAATCTTGCCTCATTTGACTTTTTTTTTTTTTTTTTACCATTTATACTTTCTTGAAAATTTCTTATCTCTGGGATTCCACAACTCCATTCTTTACTGATCTTCCTTGCTCCTCACTCTTACCACTCACTCAATATCTTCTTCTGCCCACCTTTGCTAATCTTGCTCAGGGTTTAGTCTTATTTTACTCTGTCTTCTCTTTGGTTGATCTCATCCACTCCTCTTGTTTTTAGGAACTGAAGACTCCCAAGTTTGCCCTTCAAGTTTGGAACTAGTTGCAGGCAACATTACCCGTGTTTCTAACTGCTTATTAGACATTGCTATTGAATATCTTTGCATGTCCCAAGCTGAGGTCATTATCCTCATCAACTCTTCATAATACAAACCAAACAAATGCAAATCAAAAACAAATATCAAATTATTTGTTCCTTTTTTTTTTTTTTTTAATTCACTCTAAAGTCATTTAGGCTAGAAACTCCAGTTGTCTGGGCTCTCTCTTCTCCAACATTCTTCATGATCAAATTGGTCATTAAGACTTATTCAATCTATCTTTCAACTGTATCTTCAGCCCAGCCCTTCCCTCTGCCACTGGTTAAGTTCATTCCATCACCCTTCTCTACCTGTACTAAGCTTTTACTTGGCTCTAATATAACTCTCCCCCAAACCATTTTCACATTGCTTTTTGAATAATTGTTTAAAAAGCAAAATGTAATCACAGGAATTGTCTATCTGCCTAGTTTAAAGTATTAAATGGACTTGATTAACTACCAAACAAAATTCAGACTTCCAAGTTTGGCACAAAAAGAACTACGTGAGATGGTTCCTGCAACTGAACTGGACATTCTGTGATTCCCAAAGTATCCCATGCTGCTTTACACCTCTGCATTGTCTCGCTCGTGGAATTCTCTCTGCTTGGAGTTCAGGCATGGTGATTTTCCCACTGCTTTCTTGCTTTCTCTCTCTCTCTTTTTTTTTCTTCTTGTCTTTCTTTCCTTCCTTCCTTCTTTTCTTCCTCTTCCTTCCTTCTTTCCTTCCTTCTTTCTTTCTTTCTTTCTTTTTCTTTCTTTCTTTACTCTCTCATTTAAAGAACACCATCAAATTATACCAGGCAGAGCTAGTTACACAATTAGTTACAAGAGAAAAAGTATAAGCAGTGGTTAAGAGTGCAAAGTCCAGAACCAGCCTGTGCAGATGTGCATCCAAATTCTGTCATTTACCAGATGTGGGCAAGTTGTTTGTCTTCCTCTCCTGTGAAAAGGAGATGATAGTAATATTACTTTGTCATAAGACTTTGTAAGGATTAAAGGAACCCTGTGTGGTACAATGTAATCATCAATGTAAATATGGATATTATTGTTGCACTGTATTTGATGTTTCCATGATACATTTAAGTCTTTTTATCATGCAGCCATTGACATCCCTATTTATTTCCCTACTGGACTATTCACTCAGTGAAGGCAGGTTCCATGTCTTATTCATCTTTGTAGACTGTTTAACGCAGGGTTGTGAATGCCCAATCAGAAATAGGAAATGTGACTGATGTCATGTGCTTGGCTCCAGCAAGATGGCATCAGGGAAACCATTCGCCTTCCTGGCATTAACCCACTCGGTCCCTATATAACACCTTAATCTGATTCTCCTTAAATACAACCTCCAATTTCTCCCAAAGCAGCCAAACTGCCCATGAGTTTCTCATGTCCTGGGTTGGTTAAGAATGGAGTTCTGGAAACCTTAGACTATCCATTGTGTTGTTGGTGACAAGAAGATA